AAGTGCCCCCGGAGCGCTGATTTAGCGATCCGCACTCCGGGGGCAACTTGGCTATTAGATATATAGATAAATAAATAAATAAATTCTATATTATTTTAGTTAATCCTTTTTTAAAAAAGGCATCACATGAATGTTGATTTTGCAATTTTTCTGTGGGCCAATACAATTTCCTACATCCGTATTTGCCACACATAGCAGCAAGCAGTTCAGATTGGACCTTTTAGCTGGTGTCATAGAATACGTTATTTGGATAGGATTAAAAATATATATATGCATGGCATCCAAACATGGATTGAAACTGAATTCTCTTTTTAATACAAACTGATGACATAAATATCTGAGCATGGTAACCCAGCTTTAATCATTCTTTATCTTGCTGTTGTACAGGGAAACATTATGCAGAGCAAGTACTGGAAATAAACTGATTGCAAGCCAAATCCAGATTTTTGCTGTTACAGTCCCAAGGGAAAATAAGAAAAAGTTACTTAGTGATAATTCTGGTAATATAACAAACTAGTAGCAAAGCCCGTCGTAAAATCAATACAACGTACTCTAGAAAGATATCGGCCTTGGCCTCCCTGCCAAATGGCAGCCCTCCTCCGCCCGCCAGCAACTCACCGGGCTCGCAGGGGGGCGCAGTGACAGGTGAAGATGGGGCTGGCTGAGGGAGTGCCTGCGGCACGGGCGCATCTTTGCCGGGGGAAGGGGCGGTGGGTGGAGACAGCAGGTAGCGGCGAGGTGCAGGCAGGCAGTGGCGGCACAGCGATTGGACGCAGGGCAGGAGCTTCGGCTGCCAGCTGTGCAGCTGCTGGCCACCTGGCTTGCAGGTGTCCAATAGGTTGAGTGGCGAGTCTCCGGCGCTCCCCTCCAGCGAGGCAGGCCAGTGCTTGGCCTCATTTCCCTGGCTTGGAGCGGCAAGGAAGGGCCCTGCTTCAGCCGGGGGCTCGTCCATTGAGGTGGAGGGGAGACCTGAGGCAGCAACGGCTGCTCCACCAGGCCTCGTGCACAGCTGCTGACACCCTGCTCCCCTGAATGGCCACTCGCAGCAACTGCCGCTGCCTGCGCAAGAAGAGCCATTGCGACCAATGGCGACGCAAGCCTCAGCCTTCTCAGCCTCTGCCCGCTGGAGCTTCCATCCTGCCTGTCGCCTCGCACGACACTGAGGCTGAGACGCTGGCCGCCGCTTTTGTGGGCAGGACTCCAGCAACACAGCCACTGGATTGGCACACCGTTGGAGTGACAAGTCAGGGAGCCAAATGCTGTGGGAGCGTGTGGAACGTTCAGGAAACAGTCACCCAAAAACTCAATTATATATAAGGAGAGATACCAGTGATAATGAAAGTGGAAGAGATGATGAGTTGACATATAATTTGATTCAGGAACACATCTTAGAGTGTTTTTGGAATGACAGTTACTCAAATGTACTGCTTTCAGACATTTTAACTTTAGAATGATAGTGACTTGAGAAGAAGTGAAATCAAAGAACTCAAATCAAAAGGTTTATATGAAAGAACAAGTAAAAAAATAAAATCATGGATCCTCCTACTTACCCTAGGTTCCTTTACTTCCTCAGTATCACCCATTTCTTCATCCTAGTTAGAAAAGGGGGAAATTATACCATGAATTATACCATGAACATTTCATATGCTAGCATTGGTTCCTTCGAATATTACTGGTTGGAAAAATTTAGGTAACTAGAAAAGGTATTTATAGAGATCTATTGAGGCAAACAAGAGTGCCTTTATATAAAAGACAGAAAACTAAACACAGTATGAATTTAATCTCTGAAGCAACTTGTGTGACTGAATATGGCTGCAATATGACAGTAGGAATAGCGGTATGCTTGTAGGGTTGCCAGGTGTGACACCAGGTCCAAGCATCACACCAGCGGGGGAGGGACTTTCTGGGAGTGGGGAGGAGCATCGTAACATGCATACATAAACAGGAAGTGCTATAGGCATGTCAGGGACATTGGGGTGACACTCTGGTTTTGGGGGCAAAAGCCATGGTAAAATTTGATTTGAATCATACAGTTTTGTCCAAAAACCAGAGCATCGACCCCCAACATCCTCAACGTGGCTATATCACTTCCAGTTTTCATAGGCATGTTGTGATGATTTCCAGGCTCATGCTGGTAAGAGGGGGTGATCTGGCGGGGAGAGGAGCACCCAAAAGCGGGAGACTCACGCTGGCTGGGTAAGTAGACCTGGCAACCCTAGCTGAACCTGTCAGGTTGCTATGCTCCTGTGCTCCCTCCCTCCTGTTCTTTCTTGAGCAGGGAGTATGACTGAAGACTTCCTGGTTGCAGAAGCCTTCAAATTGCAATTTGCTGTATCATCGCCACACAGGCATCCGAACTAACTGATCTTCCTGTATTTTTTAAAAAGCAAATGATGTTTCTTTTAGGAGGGAAAAAACCCTGACAGTATTGCAAAGTTAATCATAAGAGTTCCCACACAAACATAATACAAACCTGGATTCCATTTGAAAACATTTTTCTAAAACTTTTTGCTAAAGCCACAGACAAGCAAAAATGCCATCTACAGAAATAAGACTAAATTTAAAGCACACAAGCTCCATTTGCTAGATTTCCAACAAACATACTTTGTAAAAGTTCATGCTGAGAAAAATCAGACACACTCCATTTTATTGTACCTTTGCCCTTTGCAAATAAGTGAAGCTACTAATATTTTAATTTTTCTTCTGAAACCAGGGTCATTTTCCCCAATCTAATACCATGGTAAGGAAATCAAAACCCAAGTTTCAGGGAATAATAAATAAAATCAATACAGGGAACAAAGAGGGAACACTGGTGCATCTGTCATGCATCAAGAGATCTGGGTCTCATCTTCCTTCTTTTTCTAGAAGTGTTATTACTTACATCCTTTGTAAAAAAAGAGATTCCTGTGCCTCTTCGCCTCTCTTTCGGTCGCCTCCGCTCCCGAACTGACTGCTTGCTTGAAGACCTGTCACCCAAATCCTGATCTTCATATTCTGTTCAAAGAAATATAGTCCTAGCATTAAAACACCTAGGTAAATTAGCTTACTAGAAACACAAAACCAGTTTCAAGACAAATTAAAATGAATGATGTGTTAATTATTCTCCTGCATATCTTTAACAACTTATATTATTTTACCCTTTCATCTCAAGGGAAAGAAAAAGAGTGCTGAACTGCCCACGTACCAGAGCTTTGGTACTTGAATAAGACCTAAGGTCATTAGATCAGAAATAAATTAAACAGCTGAAATAACTACGAGACTTTAGCAATGACCCAGAAATTCCTAGTGATGTTCTTTATTCCTTTAATAATACACATAATGCAACAAAAAAAAAAGCAATTAAGAAAAAAGAAGACTTTTCTTGAGCACACATCTTGACCTGTATTTATTCCCTATACTGGACAGTCCTCCTTGCTAAAGTGATATAAAATCTTTTTTTTTTTGGTGACCCTGTCCTTCTTCCAAGGGGTTCAGGGCAACACAGAGGGCTGTCCTCTCCTCCATTACATCTACTACACCATACAGAAACTGACGTAATTGATTTGGATAATTTGTCTCTTATCAATAGCAAATACCATTTTTCTCCATGTCGCCGACAGGTGTGCTTTGGAAGTCTGCTGGGCTCACCGAGTCCGAAGCTATAGATTTACTTGTTCTGGGCACATGAGAACTTGAGTAAAGGAAAGGGGTTACTGTTGGAGAGATGGGACTTGTAGCTTTGTCTGGCGCTGGACATCTCAATCGATGACTGACAGACTACAAGAAAATCATGGGCATAAGTACTGGTTAGTAAGACAACGATGAAAAAAAGCAAATGGATTGCAGCTGATGGGGCACTAAAGAGAATTAACAAGATTTTCTCAACTGTAGATGGAGATCTTGAACAGTTCCTCCTCAGTACATCAGGTATACACAAAAGTTTTATTCTAACTAGGTGGGATACAGAAAGCAAGAATCAGTGTTTTCATATAGAAGAATACCAGAGCTGAAATAATGGTAGCATAAAAACCAGGGTTAAAATCTATCTTGGAACAAAACTGTACTTTCAGAGAGAAAATGGAAGATCTTTTAAAAACCAAGCATGATCACATAGCAACAGTTTTCCCTACTGAAACATGATCAGCTTTTACATGCACTCTAGTCTTGCACTGTTTCTATGACAAAGCCTGGTGAAAAACTGATCTGGCTAACTTCCTCGCTAACACTTTCAGTACATGCCGGCAAATGGATTTAGAATATTGTCACTTCAAGCCATAACAATATTTTGGGAACAGTAGTTACAACAATGGTTTTTGCTCACCTCTTCATCCAAGTTCCTGCTCCATCGTGAGAGAGTTTCCCTGGGTTCCCTTGCTGAAGTCTCGTCTCCTTTCTCACTGCTTTCTTCAGCTGTTTCAATTCTTCCAGATTTTTCACTTGGCTGTTCCTGAGTTTGCCTCTCTGTCCGAGATCGGCTAAAGGTTCTTTCTGCCTCCTGAAGATCTGTCAGTGTTACACCCTGGGGAAGGAGAGAACCCCGTACTTATTTAACACCTGCAGTCTTTTAAATTATTCCTCTTGTATGGAATTCCATGTCCCATTCCAGAAGGGGTCTGTGATGGCTCTCTACAATTCCATAGGGATTTAGGTATGTTATTTCTCCCTCTTTATTTTCCCCTTCTAAAGTAATATTCTAGGTAGTATATTTTATTTCAATGGCTGTAGGATAGCGAGTTCCCTATTGTGAGGTAAGTTTTTTTCCCAGAGCACTAAGACTCTTGAAGCAGAATTAAAAAAAAAAAAACCTACAGTAGTGTTTCACATTTTTTTCTCAGAATGGTTCAAACACTTAAGTAGTCCCAAGAATGGTAAACAAGTTACAAAGGCACAGTAACATTACAGCCTGGTTGAGGTAAATATTTTTTTGTTCACAGGTTACAGTTTCAGAAAGCTTTATATACAATTGAAAATAGCTCACAGAGAATTTAAGTAATATTTCACACTGAATGATATATTTTCAGTCAAGAAACATTCAGGGACTTCCCCTTGAGATAATCTGTCAGACCCCAAGTGCCTTAACAAACAGTTTACAGCCAGTCTCCCTCGTTCAAAAGGACTGACTTGAATCCACAAAAGTATGCATCCAAATATCCTCTTATTCAAAGCAGGCATCTTAAAGTCCATTGTAAGAAGTGATCTGTCCTTTTTCAACCTCTCTCCCTCAAATGCAGGTCATTTTGTATAAGTCATCAGCACACCATTTCAACAGATCTTCAGGAATGCTGTACCCCACCTGCGTAGACCTGCGGGTCTGGCGAGCTTGTCTAGATCGTGCCTTTCTTAGGGATTCTGCTTCTTCATCCCGCACAGGAGTCAGATAAGACCTAAAAGAAAGTGGACAAATATGGGTTTAAACTGGCTATTTCAATTTGATCCTGTTATGCTAAACAAACCAATGTCTAGAGCTGTCTCATTTTAGCACAGTTGACATCACATCTGTATCCTGTCTTCAATCAAAAAGCTCAGAAAAATACAGTGTAGATATCTCATGCGATGGGGCAGCCAGTGCCCTGCCAGACCAGCGTGCTCAAGGCCCCCGCGGGTGGAGGAGGCTGGGCACGGTCCCTCCGGGATGAAGGCGTTGGTGGGTGAAGTCGGCCAGCCTGACTCCCCCTGGCTGCTGGAGGCCCCATGCTACCTGGCCCTCTGGGAGGCAGCCAAGCGGCCGCAGAAAACAGGGGTGAAGGCCAGCGAAGACAGAACAGCACGGTGGCGAAAGAGAGGCAAGTGAAGCGGGAGCTGTTCAGCCCCCACCCGGCCCGTGAGTCAGCGTCCTTGTACTGGGGCGCGGTGGCGGAGAAGGAGGGCCCGAGTAGGCCTCCCCGCACCCGGCTGGGGGAGGGAAAGGTGAGGCGGGGGCAGTTGGAGGTCTCATGCGGCCTCGTCCCACAGTCTCTGGCTTCCCCCCACACCACTGGCTAGGTGTGGCAGGGGTAGAATTGACCTGGGGCTCACACATATCCCAGCGCCAGAGCGTCCATTCCACCTGCGGGCCCCGTGCAGACTGAGGGGGAGAGGCTGCCTGGCGGGTCTGTAGATGGGGGTGAGGTGACGGAGGGAGGGAGGCAATCCAGCCAGGGGATTGGCCCCCCGCTGAGCGACAGGTCAGGGACCACCAAAATGCTTTTATATATAAGGATATATATATATATATATACACAGAGAGAGAGAGAGAGAGATCGATCAACCAACATGCAGTGAACAATGGAATTCTAGGCTTGACTGCTTCAAATATTTTGTACTTGGGGGTGATACTTGTATTGCACGTAGTCTTTTTAAATAGATGAACACAGTTCCTCTCTACTTGCATTCATTTGAAACAGAAAAGCAGCAAATATACTTATATGCACAGTTTTGTGGAAGTATTTTGTATTACTATAGTCAAGGACAGAAAAAAAATCCTGACATCTGTTTATGTTTGCTGCCTGAGAGCCAATGGGTTAGATCTGATGAAGTGTGTCTGGAAGGTGCACAGGAATGCCTATCTTTCCTGCCTCCTCTGAAAAGCTGATTTACACAAATATCAGGGAGCCATCAGAGAGACTTGCACAAGTTAACACTTGATCAGCTGAAGAGCATGGAGGAGCAACTTTGCACCCCATTCCCCCAATGCAAGATGGCATTGTCTCCACAAAGCTGTTGCTACCACTAGCAACAGCTTTTCGAATGTTTCAGTGACATGTGGTGGGGCAGTTTGCAAGAGACATATAATAAAATCCAACTCTCTTGGGTTTTTTAAAATCAGGTACACTTGATATACACCTTTTAAAAATGATCTGCTATTGTAATCACCATTACATCAGTGCATTTGTATTAACTACAAAATTCACGTTATACTTAAAGACTAAGTTCCACTGTCTTGTGTGCGCTAGTATTACCTAAAGTAATAATACTTGATTATAAAATAACATTAAGTATTTTGACCCATAGATAAGAAAAAGTTCCTTTCATTATTGGCATGACACTGGCAACCCATTTTACAATTCCTTATAAATAGTTAATTTCAAGAAGGCTGTCATTTGTCAACTATTTTCCTTGGCTTAGCTGCCTATACAACTTATGCCATATATGTAGAAGTAACACAAAAAGCAACAGCTGGGTTAATTTTTTGAGCTTATGTTCATAGTTACAAGGAGAGGTCAGCTATAGTTAAGCAGTCAAATTATTAAGTCAATAGAGAGACACTTGAGAAAGGGGCACTCTGTGTTGAGCAGGCAGATAAGCTCCTGAAATTTCACAGAAAATATGATCACATTCTCATCAATAAATGATGATAGATGATATGCTAAAACTTTGTTTCACTCTGGTTACTTTTGGATATCAAAATTAAAATACCACAAATATGCATTTACTTTGAAGAATCTGCATAAAAATGCACTGCAAGTGTAATTCTGAAGTCACCAAAGTTGAATGGTTTTTGCAATTCAGATAAAACCTTCAAATACAGTTCAAATAAAACTTCTAATATCAATATGTTTCACATGACGCTGCCTTATATTGAGCCACACTATTGGTCTATAGAGGTCAGAATTTGGTACTGTGATTGACAACGGTTCTCCAGGGTTTCAGGAAGAGGCCATTCACTTTTATCTATCACCTGACCCTTTTAAACTGGATATGCCAGTGACTGAATCTGGGATCTTCTGCATGCAAAACAGATGCACTATCACTGAACCACGCCCCCTTTTCAGTTGTGGTACTCTCCCACATTGAATTGACGTCATGTCGTTTTTTTTCTTGCTAAAATTCCAGTGTTCACAACACCAAGCTATCTTTCCTGTAAATTTAACTCTATAGCATCCTCATGAGAGAAATAGCTTCCCTCAGTACACTACGATTATGGAGAATGGATTTGTAAAAGCAAAGAGATTTATCCAGCCAACAACTATAAAGGCCTACTAGTTCTGAAAAGCTGTAATTTCTCTAAACCCTGAAGAAACTTCAGATATGTTTACTGCCAGTTCAGAACAATTTTAGCAAGTAAACAATCAAGCATGTTCAGGAAATGGTCTTTAGAATCTGTGAGAACTATGGTATTCCTATCTTAGCAGAAATACTGTGCCTTGCAAATCATCTCTGTGAAAGAGACAGATGAGACAAAAACAGAATACCTCTTAATGCAGACATCCATAGGTACTTGAAGGTGAAGATGTACTTGGAGAACAAAAGCTGCACACCTACTAAGAGACTGCAGCTTCAGTACTGTTATCTTTGGGAACTAGCAGATTTGAATTGTCAGTGTTACGTTGCAAGCATGAGGGGGCAGGCAGCATTTTGCATTTGCTAACACACTGACCACAAGCTTCTGGAAGAAGGCATAAGCAGTGCTGATCAGCTTCCAAAACACCATCCATTAGACAGATGCATTTTTTATGCACAAGAACACAAATCAATAAACAAGTGGGATGAATTAACCTTCCCTGTATAAAAGGATATACAGAAGGTCGGTTTCTTTGGTTAAAATTTGCCACATCAGATAAACACAATTTTCCTAAAACAATGGCCAGTATCCTACTATCTCTGGATGGAAGGCACGCAGAGCTTTCTCACGTATTTCTCCTTTCCTGTAGCTCTTCCCAACCCCTGGAATGATCATTCTTGGGGTTGCAGAATCCATGCAGAGGCTTGGCCTCTGTGCAGAGTTTGTTGATCGGCCACTGTGTGAAACAGAATGCTGGATTAGATGGATCACTGGTCTGATTCACCACTGCCAATGTTATGTCCTTAATGCAGCAGTGTGGAAGCACTGGGGTGGGGGCCAAGGTCACCAAAGACTTTGACAGCAGCACTCAAATGGTCTTATGGCTACTATGACTAGTTAGGATCAATACAGCCACTTCCCAAGGAGAAATAGATGAACAGCCTCAGCTACTTCTGCTCAGCAACTACCCCTGGGGAACCATCACTTGGAAGGATAGAGCTTCTCTCCTTGGCTACAGCCAAGCTCCAGTGGCTTCCTATCCTTCTGCAGCACTCCTGGAAGACTTACGGGAACAGGGAGAGATGACCAAGGTGTTTGTACCTTATGGCTACCTTGCGCTGGAGGAAAAGCAGGATATAAATATTTTAAAATAAATAAAAACAAAAATAAACAAATGAGATAAAGTCTTCACCTTCTATGTGGGATAGTGGAAAACCTCCCAAATGAGACTTTTCCATAAAACCCATACCACTGGATAGAGGTTTATAACTATGTGTTGGGCAGAGAAAGTAAACTCTCTTTCTCTCAATGCTAGAACTTTCATAATGCTACAATGTCAATTAAATTGGTCGACAACAGGCTCAAGCCAGTCAATAGAAAGGTCTTCACAAAATGCATAATTAATGGAATTCACTGACGCAACAAGGTTGCTAGCTTAGTTATCTAGCTCTTTAATCATTTGCCACTATTCAAGGTGGGCAAGGTGCTCAAGTGAGAAGTGGATAAACACCTCCATTTGTGGATAAAATGCATTACCTAGACCTCTTTCAGGCCTATATTTGAAACTAGATTTAGTTGTGCTGATGCACAACCTGCTCTAGGAGAGAGAGGGGAACATGTCTGTTAGGGAGGCAGGACCCTTCCCAGACTCAGTGCCTCCTGAGATGAACAAACTCTGCCTGCCAAGGAGTCCCACTCACCCTGTCCTAGAGTCTGGAGGTCAAGAAGACACAGGAGAGCCACAACACAGAGATGGGGGAAGGCCAAAGTATGCTGGCAGCAACTGCGGCTCAGTTGGGATAGCCGTGGATACCAGTGACCTCATCAGCGGTGCCATGAGTCAGACAGCCTGGAAGGACCCAAGCCCAGTGACCCAAGGACAATTGGCTGGGAAGTAGCCATAGCGACAGTGGAAGCATGGCTGGAAAACTCTGAAGACCCTGGCGAGGTCTTGACGATATTGTAACTCTGCATGCAAGACGATATGGGGGGAGGGGAGGTGGAGGAGAAGAGTTGATTTTATACCCCGCCCTTCACTACCCAAAATTGGAGAAATCAAGAAAATTGGAGAAATCAACGGAACGTTTCATGCAAAGCTGGCCATGATAAAGGACAAAAGCGGTAGGCAGAAGTGAAAATGGCTATGATAAAGGACAAAAACGGTAGGCAGATTAGGAAGAGGTGAAAAGAATACACAAAAGAACTATACAAGAAGGATCTCAATGTCCTTGACAACCACGACGGTGTGATTGCTGACCTCAAGCCAGACATCCTGGAGCGTGAAGTCAAATGGGCCTTAGAAAGCATTACTAACAACAAAGCTAGCGGAAATGACGGTATCCATGCTGAGCAATTCAAAGTCTTAAAAGATGATGCTGTTAAAGTGCTGCACTCCATATGTCAGCAAATTAGGAAAATGCGACAGTGGACACAGGATTGGAAAAGGTCAGTTTACATTCCAATCCCAAAGAAGGGCAATGCCAAGGAAGCTATAGCACAATTGCACTCATTTCACACACTAGCAAGGTCATGCTCAAGATCCTACAAGCTAGACTTCAGCAGTACGTGGATAGAGAACTGCCAGAAATACATGCTAGGTTTTGAAGAGGTAGAGGAACTAGAGATCGAATTGCCAACATTCGCTGGATTATGAAGAAAGCAAGGGAGTACCAGAAAAACATCTACTTCTGCTTCATTGACTATGCTAAAGCCTTTGATTGTGCAGATCACAACAAACTGTGGCAAGTCCTTAAAGAGATCGGAGTACCAGACCACCTCACGTGTCTCCTGAGAAACCTGTATAAGGATCAAGAAGTGACAGAACTGGACATGGAACAACTGATTGGTTTAGAATAGGAAAAGAAATATGGCAAGGATGTATATCGTCACCCTGCTTATTTAATTTATATGCACAGTACATCATGTGAAATGTCAGCCTGGATGAATCACAAGCCGGAATTAAGACTGCTGGGAAAAACATCAACAACCTCAGATATGCAGATGATACCAATCTAATGGGAGAAAGTGAAAAGGACCTAAAGAGCCTCTTGTAGGCCGCTGCTGTTGTGCCAATAAAGGTTTGATGTTTGTTTGCCTCTTGTTCAGGGTGAAAGAGGAGAGTGCAAAAATTGGCTTGAAACTCAACATCAAAAAAAACTAAGATCATGGCATCCAGCCCCAGCACTCCTTGGCAAATAGAAGGGGAAGTCCTGGAAGCAGTGACAGAATTCACATTTCTGGGATCCAAGATCACTGCAGACGGTGACTGCAGCCATGAAAATAAAATATACCCCTTCCTTGGGAGGAAAGCGATGGCAAAGCCATCACCCTGCCAACAAAAGTCCATATGGTCAAAGTGATGGTATTCCCAGCAGTAATGTACAGCTACAAGAGTTGGACCATAAGGAAGGCCGAGCGCCGAAGGATAGATACTTTTGAATTATCGTGCTGGAGAAAACTCTTGAGAGTCCCTTGGACTGCAAGGAGATCAAATCAGTCAATCCTAAAAGAAATCAACCCCGACTGTTCCCTGGAAGAATACTGAAGCTGAAGCTCAAATACTTTGGCCACCAAGTGAGAAGGGCGGCCTCCCTGGAGAATACCCTGATGCTGGAAAAGACTGAAAGTAACAGAAGAAGGGGACGGCAAAGGATGAGATGGTTAGACAGTGTTACCAATGCAACGAACATGAAATTAAGCAAAGACAGGAGAAGACAGGAGGGCCTGGAGTGATGTGGTCCATGGGGTGATAAAGAGTCATACTTGATTGTGCTGCTGAACAGCAACAACTTCACTACCCAAAGGAATCTCGGAGTGGCTTACAATTGCCTTCCCTTCCTCTCCCCACAACAGACACCCTGTGAGGTAGGTGAGGCTGAGAGAGTTTTGAGAAAACTGTAACTGACCCAAGGTCGCTAAGCTGGCTTCATGTGGAGTGGGGAATCAAACCCGGTTCTCCAGATTAGAGTCTACCACTCTTAATCACTACACCTCTCTCTCTCTCTCTCTCTGAGGTACACTCATCAGTTGGCCCTACCCGCTCATTGGTTAGATGTTGAGCCTCTTTGGCTATTGATCTTATATAGGACCTCTCTTCTTCTTTCTCTTACCTGGGCTTCGAGCGGTAGTAAGTTAACGTTTTTGAAGTTAATCTGGTCACAATAAATTAAATGTACCTACATGGATATGTTATGTAAAATGTACTTCTATTTTTGTTAAGTAACATTTCTTTCTCTTGTTACCATGGGAGTCATATCATCTTTGTAATTTTCCCACAGTATTTTACCTCTTAATCAGGAAACATGGAGAATCAAGGATACTGCATAAAGCTTCTGTGCTTCCAGGACAAATTGTGGGGGGAGGGGGGCTGGGCTCGGCTAGGAGACAGAGGGGAGGGAGTTGCAGGTGGGAGGTGAGAGCAGGTGGGAGGTGAGAGGAAACTGAATGCAGCCTTTATGCCTTGCAGAGAAGAAAGGGACAAAATGGAAGCACCCTATAAAAGAGGCACTCCCACAGGTAGCCAGGGAGGATACGCAGGAATGTACTGAGGGCAGAAAAGGGGAGAGAGATTCCTGCAGAGAGAGAGCCTGGGGGAAGGAGAGGGGAAAAGGTAGTTTAACACACACACCCTTCCAAGTCTGAGGCCATGGGAGGATCAGTGGAGCGGTTGGGGAGGTGGCTGAGGGCAGGACATCTCCAGCAGGGCACAAGGGTCCTCGCAATATCTATGTTGAGTCTCCTGGATTTCATGGCCACATTGATCATGAAATCCTTTCAGGTTGTCTGCAACAGATGGGGAGCAAGGCCACTGTGCCCTAGTAGCTTGTCTGCTGCCTGTTACATCATTTGTCGGAAGGTAATGCGATATGATAGCTACTTGAGCCCATGGCACTTGTGCGATCGGATCCTGCAAGATTCCATCTCATCACACTTGCTTTTAAACGTCTTCAGGTAAGGTTGCTCAAGGATCTGATGTGTCACCAATACGCAAATGTCATTCAATTCTATCTCTTCCTTTCATCCAATTCAGGTGAGGTGGGGATAATTCTAAACTGTTGCCAGGAAGCCACAATGGGCTGCATAATGGATCCATAAACTACTTAATATGTAGATGCTTTGGGACAATAATATCGCCAATTGGGAATCAAGGAGTCAACCCATTCTAGATGGGACCGTACCCCCCTTGGAGGAGAATGATCAGTAAGTGTGCTAACTGAACCAGGGCTTCTGATTCAGATCTATTCTGTAATATGGAGACTTTTTAGCAGCTTCAGTTGGTAGGGCAACTTTGGTTCTTCCTTGATAGGCAGGGTTTGGCCACAGCTTTTGGGGACTGCTTAGAAGCTTCAATTAGTGCAGACAGTGGTATCCACATTGTTAACAGGCAGCTCCTATAAAGAATACATTTCCACAGGATTGAAAAAAATTAACTGGTAGCTTTTCTACTTCTGGCACATTTTAAAAATGCTGGTTGTAGCCCTGAACGGCTTGGGACTGAAATACCCAAAGGATCTCTGGCACACATCTGCTCATATATTTAGGACTGTTTTTGGAAACCTTGCTCTGCCTTTCCTCATTTTGAGAAATTCAACAGGTCAAACATACAGAGCAGGAAGTTTTCAAATTGAGATATTCCAGGTGTGGAACACCCTGCATTCACTGATTTGCTTGTGACCAAGCCTTTTGATTTTTCAGTGCCAGGTGAAAATGTGATTTGCTCAAGCCTTCGATGATTCATCTCTTCTTCTGATCTTTTTTATTTTTTTATTTTGGGTGATGCAATTCACTAATTTTATATTTTTAATACTGCTTCTTCTTCTTTTTTTGCTCTCTCTCCTGTGTTTTGAGTTACTGGTTATCTCATTTTTAACAGTCTTCATACAACTACACTTACATTCATCTGAATTCACAAACCTGTAAGAATTCTGCCGTGTTACAGGGCAAACTTTATAATTTGAGAATATCAGAGACAGATCTGTGTTAGGTAGAATCTCAGTGTGTTTTCCAGCTTTTTAATATGTAGAAACTGCATGGAATCAAAAAAGCACCAGTCATAGGATACATATACATTCATTGAAGGCAGCTGCTCCTAAGGTAAATTTAGAAAGAATTGCTGGTAAACTGATTTTAGTGATCAGGAAATTGGTATCTGATCTAACTGCTTCATGTGGAGAAGTGGGGAATCAAACCCGGTTCTCCAGATTAGAGTCCACCACTCTGTTTTGTTCGAAAGCAGCATGCCCTCCCTAGTAGGCACTAAGGGGAGGACAACAGGTAATCTGCTGCCACCATGTGGAATGAAAATAACAGAAAAGACCCATTTCTTTTGCAGGGGCTACATGCTAACCTCAACAGGCTTTAGCTGCTAAAAGACTTTGACAGTATCTCACCAGATTTTCAGCATGTTTACGTGACACACTGAACTACTTTATGAAAACAATTGTAACTCAGTTTATCAAACAAATTGCTGATAGAATGGAACAAGAGAAAAGGAGACATAATCCCACCTAGATTTCTCCATCCATACCTCATTCTCATTTACAGTTTTTCAATAGACAAGAAAAGGGGTTTTTTTAATCACATTGTCTTCAGTGAAAAATCTAATCCAGGAAAAGACAATACTGCAGATCCTACTGTGAAGGGAAGATCTTTTAAAACCTAAACTGGAAATCATACAAATTCATGAGGCAAGAACAAAATTAAATGCAGAAGTCAGAAGAAAGAGTTACCTGAGGATTCAGTCACTTTGAGAGGTTCGAGCTGCAGTTCTAGAACATTTCAACACATATTCATGCCTTTGCTCTTGAGTTCTAGTCAAGATAAGCCAAGTCGAATCAAGCTCTCAGTCTATTTTCACTGCCTCAGTTCCTGTTTCTTTATTACCATGAATGTCCAATTATAAAACCCCACCTTGGAATTATGCAGGAAATCAATCCAGGAGCTGAAAGCCTTGCAAGTACACTGCAACTGCACAAGAAGCCACACTTTCAGCAGTAACGCACAAGTCCCCAGCCTGACCTCTTGCACATAAAAATGTGCCCTGATATCAGATAAACCTTCCCTTTTCCGAACATGGAAAATCAAACCGCAAGCAGAACTCCTGCCCCTCCTACATCATCACAACACAACTAGCAGCTCTTTTATAAGAGGACAACTTTATCGCAAAGAGATTAACTGTAAAAGCATGGCTGATAAGAGCTTTCAGCAGCAGGTGTTGGGTGACTGGTTGCTGCTTTAAGTGCATGAAGGCCTTTGCTGTTCTTTCCCAACATAGCTCTAAGTCTGTAGCATGAAACTGTACCGGCTTTCATTCCGGTACGAACACATGAAGCTACTTTATACCTAGTTAAGTCCACTGGTTCATCCAGCCCAGAACCATCTACTCTGAAAGCAGCTTTCCTAAGGTCTCAGATAAAGTAAGAGTTCTCCCATCATTTGCTGCCTAAGATTTTGCAGACAGAGATGCCAAGGAATGAACCAGGGATGTTTTGCTCTACCACTATGCCACAGCCCTTTCCTGGCTAAACTGTTTCAAAACCCACAGCAATATCTCTAAGACCCTTTCAAAATTACAAGATGTCCTGAAAAGTTACATGCTTCAACCTGAAATAATTCATTTTTTATTAATTATTTGTGAGCATTCAAGGGGTGTTATAGAAGTAATTTATAAGCATATTGCCTACTGAACAGGCAGCACAGTGAATTATATCAAGGGCAAGAATCAATAATGCATACTATTTTGACAGCAATAGCAACTGAACACGTTACAGATGCATGTTACAGCCCATATGTATTCTAACAACACAAACTCTGAAAATGTTTGGGACTATAAAGTGTCAACATAGTGTTGTTGCTTTTTAAATCTGCTCTGTCAATTTTCTTTTGCCAACTTGAAAGATGCTTTATTAGTACAATCAAAAATTATTAGCACCAGAGATGGTTGCAACCACTCACAAAAACAAAGCTGGATTCTTATTCCAAAAATTCTTTTATTTTTAAACCTCCGAAAGGGTATTTTATTATTTTTTATAAGACTAATAACTACAATGAAAAATAGGGAGGGGGAAGCTACAACTAAGGATAAAGGAAAGATACCCACACTAACTAAAATCCCAAGAGTAGGAGATCCTTTCCATGTTAAATGTTAGTAATACAAGTGTTAGTAATACAATATACTTGTGAAGTTCTTGTTTAACACAGCTTCTATATTAGTAAGTTAATCTTTATGAGAGTTCTTCTTGACCATCTTCTTACTTCAAAGAGCCATTTACTGAGTCCTTCTGCCCTTACTTCGGTTTTCTATCCCTAAAGTCATACAAATTTTTCATTACCCCAGCTCCCGCACCCACTTCCCCCACAGAGTCCTCGTCCGTTCCCGAGGTAGCAGAGTCACTTGACTTGGATTCTTCATCTTTACATTCTACTTCCGGCCCGAGCTGACGTCTCAAAAATCCCTTAGCTTTGAAGATGGAGTCAATCTTCTCTCTTTTGCCGTTAACTTTAAAAATTACACCTTCAGGAATTGCCCACCTGTACTGAATTCCATTAGTTTGAAGAAATGAGATCAGTTCCTTGTAACCTTTCCTCTTTTGATGGATTTCAAATGGTATATCCTTTAAAGTCTTTATTATTGTATTCCCAATTTTCAGTGGGTTTGCCGAGGTTGCCT